CTTCTCCATTCTTGCGTCTTTCTCATTTCTTTCCCCTTTCTCCTTTTTCCTTTTTTTTTCTCACTTCCCCTTATCATTCACGATTCACAGTTTCCCTTTCTCCTTTCCCCTTCCTCTTCCTCCCTTCCCCTCCATTCCGTACTTATTCTTTCCTCTTCCTCCTCCTATCTACCTTTCCATTCCCTTTCTCCCTTCCAGTATCTCCTTCCTTTGCCCTCTTTTTTCTCCTTCCATTCCAACTCTTTTTTCTATTCCCCTTTCCTCTCTCCCTTTTCTACTCCCCTTTTCCTCTTTCTCTCCTTTTTTTACTCCCCCTTTCCTCTTTCTCTAATTTTTCTACTCCCCTTTTCCTCTTTCTCTCCTTTTTTTACTCCCCCTTTCCTCTTTCTCTAATTTTTCTACTCCCCTTTTCATCTTTCTCTCCTTTTTTTACTCTCCTTTTCCTCTTTCTATCCTTTATTTACTCCCCCTTTCCTCTTTCTCTCATTTTTCTACTCCGCTTTTCGTCTATTTCTCCCACCATTTCCCTTCCTAATCAACAAACCCTTAACTCTCCAACCCAAAATGTGCCACCACAACTTGTTATTATGTTGCTATTTGCCCATGGGTAGCGCCGCCTCCCTTCTCCCTTCCCCTCCCTTCCCCCCTTTCCCTTCCTTCTGTTCCCCTCCACTGCGAGGCCTCACCAACCCTTAGCTACCCCTACCCCACCCCCACCCCCACCACCACGTTCCTTTCCTTTCGTATCTTTAGTGCAATTCCTTTGCCCATCCCCCCCCCCAAGAAAAAAAAAAAAATCTCCCATTCCCCTCGCCCTCCTTCTCCCTCTCTTCCTTACCCTTCTTCCCTCAGTTCCCACGACCTACCCTCCTGCTTCTTCTTCTTCTTTACCCTTCCCTATCTACCTTTCCCGTCTCTTCGCTCCCTCTCTTCTTCCTCCCTCTTTCCTTGCCGAAATATCTACCCTCCAACATCTTTCTTCTTCTCCCCTTTCTTATTCCTTCTTTTCCTCCCTTTAATCCCATCTCTCGTGCGTTTCCCCTTCCCACCTCGCCAATTCTCTTTGCCTCTTCGCTCTTCCTTCATTCTCTACTTAGTTCCCTTACCCTTAGCTTTTCCATTTAGCTTCTCTTCTTCGCTTTTCCAAACCTATATCTTCAACTCCCCCCCCCCCCCACACCGCCCACTATCTTTAACCCCTTTCCCATCCATCTCCTCCCGCCTCCACCTTCCACCCCTCCCCTTCCATCCTCCACCTCTTCCCTTCAACTCTCCACCCTCTACCCTCTCCCCTTCCGCCCCTTCCCCTTTCCCTTCCACCCTCCACCCTCACCCCCTCCCTTTCCCTTCCACCCTCCACCCTCACCCCCTCCCTTTCCCTTCCACCCTCCACCCCTCCCTTTCCCTTCCACCCTCCACCCCTCTCCTTCCACCTTCCACCCCTTCCTTCCCCCCTCCCCCCATTTCCCCTATCCCCCCTCTGCTTATTTTCGACGGTCCGGCCGTATTGCAGGTTGCAGCAGCAGCAGGGTAGGAGCTGTTTGCCGTGGCAATGCGTGCGTGCGTTTGCAATATGTGCATGTTGGGTTAGCGTCTGCGATTATGTCAGATCCCCCTCCCCCCCTTAACCCTCTCTCCCCTCGTCTTCTCCAACATTCTTTCTTTCTCTCCTACTCCATTGGTTTTCGGTGTTTCTTTCTATCTCTTTCCTTCCTCTCTGCTTCTATTGCATTTTTTTCTCTTTTTCATTTTCATTTTTTTTTCTTTTTCATTCTCACATTTTCACTCACTCGAGCTTAAATTCGAAAAAAGGAAGTCAATAACCAATTTGTGCGTGTGCGCGTACGTGTACATGTGCGTGTACGTTTATGTGTGTATGTTTATGTGTACGTACAGGTGTATGTGTATGTGCGTGTGTGTAAACTCGAGAAATGGTTCCAACACAACAAAATGTTTTTAAAAAATAAAATAGAGGAAAAGTAGTGGCCGGCTCGACGTCAAGGGAAGCGATGATGATGATGATGAGTGAGGGGAGAGGGGGAGAGGGGAGGGAGGGAGGAGGCAAATAAGAGGGAAGGCGGAGGGGGGGGGGGGGGAGAAACGAAGGGAAGGGGAGAAAGGAAGAGATACTGAGATGAGATGAGATATATGGTGTGAGAGAGGGAGGGAAGGAGAGAAGGAGATATATGGTGTGAGAGAGGGAGGGAAGGAGGGAAGGAGAGAAGGAGGGAAGGAGAGAAGGAGGGAAGGAGAGAAGGAGGGAAGGAGGGGAGAAGGAGAAAAGGAGGGGAGGGAAGGAGGAAAGGAGGGAAGGAGGGAAGGGGAGAAGGAGAAAAGGAGAGGAGGGAAGGTGGGAAGGAGAGAAGGTGGGAAGGAGAGGAGAGAAGGAGGGAAGGAGAGAAGGAGGGAAGGAGAGAAGGAGAGGAGGAGAGAGAGAGGGGTGGGGGAGGGAGAGAGATAGAGAGAAAGAAAAAAAATAACGAAAGATCAAGATCACGAGAAAAAGAAACCAGCCACGGCGAAAGAAACCGAAACAGAAAGCGACAAGGGACGGGTATATCTGACCCTCGCCGGCGAAAATTGCCGCAAAGGGAGAGCTACTGTTATGAAGACGGGTCCCCCCCTCCCTCCTCCTACCCCCTACCCACCCCACCCTCGGCCGATTTTCTCCTTGGGGCCGGAGAGGGCGGTGGTTAATAGAAGGATAACAAAGGGTGAACAAAAAAAATAATAATCCTTTCCCCTTACTCGATGTCTTATCTCCTCCTCCCTCCCCCTGCCTCGTTTCACCTCCCGTTTCTCCTCCTCTCTGCTTTCTTCCCTCCTCTTCCTCTTCTCCTACCCGTTCTACCTTTTGTTTCATGATTTAATTTTATCTTCTTACCCTCTCCCTCTCTCTCTCTCTTCCTTTCCTTACCTTTACCTTTCCCTGCCCTTCCCTTCCCTCTCCTCCCTTTCCCTTTCCCTTCGTGGCCTTTTCTCATCCCTTCTTTTCTTTTCCCTTCCTTGAATAACTCTTCTCTTCCCTTCCCTTCCCTTCCCATCTCATCCCATC